TCTTTCCCTGTGGAAATAGTGCCTCCCTCTTGTTCCAGCTTCTGTGATACCCAAAATATCTGCTATTTCAAAATAGTGGCTTCTCATAAGATACAAAATAGTCATCCAAGCTCAGATTATTGTTACAATGCCTATATATCTGTCTGTACTTGAGGGATTATGGCAATGGTAGCCTTACCAGATTTTCAAAACAAGTAATTTACTTGTGTTCTGTGCTTAATTTAATTTAATCCAGAATTTCTAAGTTGTGGTTTTTTTCTTGGTGGTCCAGCATCTGAAAGGCCTAGTGTGTAATTTACCTGATATCTAAGGGTGCTGCTCTTTGAAGCTCCTTTGTTTGACTTTGTAAAATTCATGTGAACATTTACTGTAAGTGCAGTCAGCTACTCAGGTTAGTGTTGGGGTTTTTCCTTAGTGGAAAAGAATAAAATTAGAGAGGGAGACTAACTTTATATTAATGTTTGTATCTGTGTTGTGTGAGACTATTGGAGTCAAGTTTTGCAAGGATGCTCCATGTTTTAGGCTTTGTCCATGTGACTGTGTAAACAGAGGGAATTCTGTGTATCAATTAATAAAAAATAACCTGAAATGAGACAAAATGGTCCTTCTCTAATTTGGACCTTTTTCTGGAAGACTGAGGACCTTGCTTTGTTCTGTGATGATATTTTGGGGCTCTGAGAATTGACACACAGTTCTTGTGTGATTGACTGTGCCCAAGGAGAGGTGAAGTGTGAAAAAATGAGCTGCTTGAATCTAAGGTATTCTCCAGAGGCCACCGTGATACAGCTTGGAGGTATGTGTGCACACAACTGTTTGTTTTTTCTTTATGCTGGGAGCAGTCTGAGAAGTGTGGCTTTCCCCCAGTGAAAATCCTGTCTGGGAAGTGTTGTGAACTCAGAGCAAAAGCAAAGCAGGGTTTGGCTGATAGAAGCTGCACCTCTGCAAGGAGATTTAGGAGGTGTGCTTCATCTAGGGGAGTCACTTCAGTATTGTTCATCAAGAAGCAACTATGTCCATTTGAGTACAGAAATAATTGGCTCAAATGATAATGCACAAGTTATAATGCCCAAGCCCTATCCTATGTCTTGCTTAAGGACAAAAGAAAAAAAAACAACAAAAAAACCATAGAGATCTTTAGAAAGTCAACAGAAGTTATGAAGAAGTGTAGAGCTTGTACTGGAAATCTGGGAATTACATAAAATTGGTGACTTGAGGATAAAATAGTGGTTTGCTGCTCAAGAGTTGCTTGAGAGTTGGTGGAAAACATCTTCCTAGCAGCTTGGTGTATCAACCCAGAAAGGGAAATGGCCAAGGCTCTGCTGTTGGCCTGTTACAAAGTTTTAGCTTTTCTGAGTGTACTCAGGTTGAAACTTGTCACAGGCAATAGTCTTTGCTGACTAGTTAAGTAACAATGAAGCTGGATTTTTGCTAACTTGATAGTTTGAAGTTTGCACTCAGGTTACTGACATGCTATGAAATGTTTTAGACAATGTTTTCATTTGTGTTTATAGTTTCTGCAGGAAACGTGATTTGATGCATAAACCTGATGAGCTACCACAGTTTCTGAATCTGTATGATATTTTCACCCTTCCCTTTGATCAGGTCATGACATAAGGGAATAAGGAGCATTTTTGCCTTTAAAGCACTATCTTGAGGCCTGCAGGGATGGCACTGTCTGTTTATTTCAGAGTTGGCTGTGTCATCCTCTACTTCCTGGGTGGTATAATAACATCCTTTACTCCCAGCCACAGAGCTGCTAAGCTGTATATTGTTTCAACAAAATAAAGCAATACTGGGAATAGAGTGACTTTATTGATTGGGTTTTTGATAACAAAATACTGAACCATCTAAGGAAATGATTTCCTGTAAATCAGGGTTTTACCTCTGAGGCTGCAGAAAAGCTTCATGTTGGTGAGTTCCTGGCCTCACGAGGTCATTACCTGAACCTTTCAGGAGAAGTTATGGTCACTGCTGCTGTCCCAGGTTGTGGGTAAAGCAGAACTCTACCCTGGGATAGCAGACAATGGATTTCTTTTTATACTGAGAATGTGTTGCTGCTGAGCAGGGATGTGATCTACAGATAAAGGCAGTTCAGTTTTTTGGCAGTAGTGAGGTAGGGTTAAACTGAGGCTGGCAAATTCTGATATCAAAGTTGCCTTGATCAAAGATCAAGGGCATTGGCAAGGCTCCTGAATAAAAAGAACTTGTGGAAGGCAGCTTAAAGCTCAGACTTGTGAGAGGCCTTGAGCTTCCTTCCTGAACATCTTATCTGGAAGGTCCTAGTCTTCCTCCTGTTCCTGGACAGGGTTTTGGCAGCAACTTGGTAGTTGCAAGGCACATGTAAATGCTTCAACTGTTAAATAGTGTTGTAGGATAATTGGGAGTTCTACTTGGCACCTAGGAGTTGTTCTGCTCCTACTCTGGCAGGGCTTACATCCTCATGCAAAGCTAAAGCTCATTACAGGAACGAAACTCCTGGTTTTACAGCTGACTTCCCCTGAAGCATGTGATGAAAGGAGAAAAAAAAGATACAGCCAGATAAGCTTTCTCTGTGCCTCTCTGTCTTGTGACTCAGCTCCCAGGTCAGACCTTGGCTGGTTCTGCAGACTCGTGCTAGGCAACTTGCTCTCTTTTCTGGGTGCAAGGTGTGTTAGACTTAGCAGCGGGGTGAGATGGTATGTTGGTTTTTAAAACAAAAGTCTAAAAAGCCTGAAGATTATCACTACACATCACTAAGTGCCAAAAAAAAAAGAGAAATTAAGACCAGTGGCACCATCTCCAGCACTAGTTGCTGCACAGAGAAACTGCTGTAAAAAAGTAGCAAGTGATGCCTGCCTGCACAGACATCTAAAAGCTGAGCTTGCAGTATTTCTAGGCAGACTGTTTTCCTCTTAACAACAGTTACAAGTGTTGTATTTTTCCCTCCTGAGTAAAGCAAATTAGGATGAGTTCTTCATTCTGGTACAGAAATAGCCCAGCTGCATCCAAACTTAAGGACATGCAAACCACAAAAGTAAAGGAAAAATCTCACAAAGGTGCAGTCTGCACAGACAGACAATGCTGTTGGCTTGGATTTTTTGTACTGTCAGGTGCCTTCTTTGCCTTCTACCTATTGGGGCAGTTCAGAGTTAAGTGCTGCCTGGGAGAGGCTCCATGTCCCTCAGCATATTTTGCTGAAGCCTCCTGCAGCCAGTTCTCATGTATCACAAAATCTTGTCTAACTACAGTAGTTTTCACTTTCTTCCATCTCCATTTCTATTGCAGTGTATTTTGCCACTGCTAATGGAAAATAATCAGCAGACTTGCTTTAAGTAGCCTGTATTTCTCATCTCCCACTGTCTCCTGTCTTATAGCTCCCTCTGTTCCTGTTGAGTCAATATTTATGCAGTAAGGAGGTGAGAAGCACTTGCAAAAAGTACATTGATCTGGGAAAGGCTGGAGTAGATTGAGATTGAAGTCAAAGGAGCAAACTGTCAGGCCTGGGAATTGACCTTTGTGGGCAGTATGTCTAGGAAAAGAACTTTATTCAAGCCTTCTGTCAGAGAAGCTTTTCTGTCAAGGGTACAGTATTGGCAGCTGGAGCAGGTTAGGGACTGGTGAACTGGCAGCATGGAGGAAACCTGAAAATGTTCTCTCTATCCTACCTTAGGAATGACTAAGACTTGTATAACCAGGAAGCTGGCCTAGGATTTGCTAGCTCAACCACTCCACAGGCATGCCATGGCAAATCTTGTAGGTAGATGGGCGTTTAAAGATACCAGGTCTCTCTGAAAATGCCACAAGGCTAGTGCCAAGCACAAGAAAGGGGACTTGCCCCTGCATCCTTGTTTTGTTCCTGCTGCAGTGTGGCTTCGAATGAGCTGCAAAGGCCAGAGATGGAAATAAAAGCAAGTATGATGAAGGGTAGCAAGTTTATACCTGCACTAGCCAATGCCAGGCTTGCAGGTAGAGCCTTTGCCCCAGTATGTCCTGTCTGCTTGCTCTTCTCACACAGCAGTGGTCTAATAGCAGTTGTATCAGGATTATTTTGTTGGGCTTGAAAGTCTCATCCTGCATCCTTAAAGAAGTCATAAAGGCTGGTGATACATATTGACAACACCTTTGGCTTCAAGGACTGTCTGAGCCATAGCCCAATTCAGTCTTCAAAGTAGCTACTATGAAGTTTTGTAGAGACAAATCACTGTCTGCTTAAAGACTAGGTTCTCTTGAGCACAGGGAATTTTTGCTTGTTTACTGGATTTCCCTGGCACTGAGATTCTTGTGCAGTCTTTGCATGTCATTATAGAGGATTCTCTGAGACTTGGCCTTGTGATCATAGCTCTAAGATCTTGGCCTCTGCTAGCCTCCCGTGCCCTTGTAATCAGCATGTGGGGGTGTACTTACTGAGGCAGCAGTGGAATTAGCAGAAATCTCAAACACCTTTTGATGCTGCTGAGTAATGGGAGTTATCTATCTCCCAGAAAATTGCTGTAGTCCTTTTCATGTCGTTTAGCAGCTAGAAGAGCATCACATCTGCTTTCCTGGAGAGGAAACAATTCTGGTCCAGGGGTGGGGGAGAGGGGGGGAGAAGGCATAATGAATGTAAATAAAATGTTGAGGTAGAACAACTTAGCAGAGTTGACCTTCATGCTGGAAATACTTTGTCAACATTCTTTTTCCAGGAGGAGGAGAAGTACTTTATTGCTGTGGATTTGAATAATACCACCATGCTTCCTCCACCACTCCAGCAAGAGTGGAAGACTTAGGACTGAAACAAAATTTGTGTTCAGTAAAGTCAGATCTGCAGCAGAGGGGTTGGACTCAATGATCTTCAGAGATCCCTTCCAACCCCTAACATTCTGTGA